AGTTATATTTCATTGTGAAATTTTACAAGGAAGTTCTGGGAGCAAGATGATATCGGTCCGTGGTTCGAAGCGATATTTCATTAATATGTACAAAGATATGTGATCTTATTCCAACCAGTCGAAGTTTGTGCGATTAAGGGGTAAGGAGTTCTATTTGGCCGCATTTACTTGATATAATATGCAATCAGTCAAATGAAGAAAAAAATTTAGGAAATAATGATATTATGTTTAACATATTGGTCTGTCCTTAAAAGAATCTCCTGATTATGGGGTAAGATTTCATTGTCGTTTGAAACTTATTTACCACCCTAAGGGCGGTTTTTGTAATTCTTATAGTTCTACGGACATTTTTGGTAATATTGTTTTACGGTTTTTCATTCTAATAGTTCTATGGATTTCTTTTGTAATAGTTTTTTACGGTTTTTCATCTGCCCAAATCTAAAAAAAAAACTTCTCCCCGCAACTTCTCTCTCTCTCTCTCTCTCTCTCTCTCTCTCTCTCTCTCTCTCTCTCTCTCTCTCTCTCTCTCTCTCTCTCTCTCTCTCTCTCTCTCTCTCTCTCTCTCTCTCTCTCTCTCTCGTGCGATTTCTGCATCATCATCGATCATCTAATTCCAATCGGCCGCGGGAATACCTTCATGACATCAATTGTAAGATTTTTTTTAGAATAAATTGTTGCAGGCTGCTTTTTCCTTACCCTGAAAACCAGTCGTTCTATTTTTTTTTTTTCCTGTCTCCATCCATAGAATCGCCTTATATACTGAAGGTTTGGGTGCATGTCGTATTTATTGATCGGAGAGAACTTTTCATGATGATAAATTTTGAGGGAGTCTTCGACATTTCCGTTTTGTTTCTTAATTCGTCTGGCTGAAAATTTTAGAAAATCATCTATCCGTTGTTATTGCCATGGATTTTAATATATAAAAAAAAATTAATATGCATATGGCTGAAAATTTAATATCTAAAATTTTGTGACGATTTTTTTTTTGGCCCTTTAATCTTTTTGGGAATTTTTTTATTTAGTTTGTGCTGGTAAGCAAAAAATTAGTTTGGATTATTGCAATGAAATTTGTTTTCTTATGCGCTTAAGAATAGTGGTAGCAGAACTTCTATTGTTTTTTGCTTCATTGAAAATGTTCCTCACAAACACGAGGGTTTGCGATTTTTGGATTTTGTGACCAAATTAACAATAATATATTAATAAACTCCACAGTTCTTTGATGTTCGCTTTTCTTTATTACATATGTTAGTTTATTGTTTACTAAACTGTGATTATATATTAGTAACTTCAACCTTATGTTTTTGGTTCATATTGAATGTTTCTCATTTATGAACACGTGACAGCTTGATGAAGACCTGATGGTGTATCCTTTGTTCTCATAGTATTTACAGGTAAAATTCCTGAAAATCGAGATTACATCTGCATAAAGATCCATTTGGGAACTATAACTAAGAAGGACAGGTATTATTTTAACCATTACTTTCATGCTTATTATTTTTCATCATCCCTTCTATGGACTTCTCTTGCTAAATACTAAAATAAACCAGTAATTTTCGTATAGTTGGAGAATGTAAAAAATTAGGCAAACAATGTATTTTTTATCTTGCTGTTCTTGGATAATGGTTCTTTGTTCTGTATGTTTGGGGTGATTAAATATTTTGTTCTTTGATCATAAATGTCGGATTCAAAAATCACAAATTCTTTGATTATATAAATTTCAAATGTGTATGCCGCATATTTATATCTATATGGATAAATCCATCCCCAGCCTTTTCTTCCACCTCTTCTCAATCCTCCATCAGTATCCTATGGATCTCTTCTAACATCAATAGCTTCTTTTGAATAGCTGCAAATATGTGTGTGTGTGTTGTTATATAAAACATAGCTTGTGTGTATATATGAATATATATTATCT